CTCAGAAGCTACTCAGTCACCTGAGTAGCTAGGATTATAGATATGATCCACCAGTGCCAAGCAAGGTCACTGAACTCTTAAGATAAAAAAACATGAAGGGTCACTTGGGAAAAAGCAGTGCTGGAGTAAAGGGTGGGTGGGGAGCAAACCAAAGCTGTCACAAACTCACAGGCCCTAATCTGATGGAACCTTCTCTTTACTCCATCTCATGACTGCAACCCTGTTGCTTTAGCCAAAAAAGGTGGAGGCATTCATGACTCTCCTCTTTCTCACATACCATTTCCAGTCCATAAACAAATCCAGCTGGCTTTAAGAGCGTGTGCATGCACACACGTATACACACACACCCCTCTGGCTTTAAGAGCGCATGCATACACACACACCCCTCTCTCTCAATGCCTCCACTGCTGCCACTTTATTCTCTTGCTGAGAGATGCCAAGACTAGTCTCTGTCCTTCACTTTTGCTCTTTATGGGCTATTATCAACCCAGGAGCAGAGTGATCCTGTTAAAACCTAAAGTAGACCCTACCTTTCATCTGTTCAAATCCATTAAGCTACTTCCCATCAGAATAAAATGGCATACCATTTGTCATCTCCCTGATCTCATCTTCTACTCTCCTTTCTCTATGTACTCTAGTCACTCTGGCTCACTTGCTATTTACAGAGAATACTGTACATGTTCCCACTCTGGGGCCTTTACAGTGGGTTTTTCTGTCTGGAACCTCTTTTCCCCAAAATAATTTTTTTTGGGGGTCTGGTCGTGGGGCCTGAACTCTGGGCCTAGGCGCTGTCCCTCAGCTCTTCAGCTCAAGGCTAGCGCTCTACCACTTGAGCCACAGCACCACTTCTGGTTTTTTTCTTTTTGCATGCAAGACAAGCACTCTACCACTGAGCTACCTTCCCAGCCCCCCAAAATAATTTTATAGCTCATCATTCCCTAACCTCCTTTAGGTCTCTGCCCAAACGTGAACTTTTTTTTTTGTCGGTTGTGGGGCCTGAACTCTGGGCCTGGGTGCTGTCCCTCAGCTCTTCAGCTCAAGGCTAGCACTCTGCCACTTGAGCCACAGCACCACTTCCAGATTTTTCTCCTTATGTGGTGCTGAGGAATCAAACCCAGAACCTCATGCATGCAAGGCAAGCACTTTACTACTGAGCCACCTTCCCAACCCAAACATGAACTTCTTTATCCAGACTACCCTAACTTAAAATTTTATATATGCCTACTCACTGATCAATGAGGAGGTAACTATTTTGAAAGAATATGAAAGGAGATATTCAGTTGATATCTGATAAAAGGAAGAGAGACAATTAGCATTTGGGGAAGTTCCTTCAATTTTGTGGAGAGAGGGGAGAAAATGACCCTACAGTCTGAGCTCAGAGAAAACATAGGACGCTACTTTTTTCCCTAACTTCATTACAGTACTTTATCCCAGTAATACACAGCTATATACTACAGGTAGTTTTACCTTACTATGTGTTTTGGGTTTTTTTGTGGGTATGGTAACTAGGGATTCAATCCAGGGCTTGTAAACACTTTATATAACTTGACCTACACCCCTGTCCCCCATATAAAGCTTTTATTAGCTGGGCATTGGCGGCTCACACCTATAATCCTAGCTACTCAAGAAGCTGAAATCAGAGAATCGAGTTTTAGAGCCAGCTAGACATTCAAATCCACGAAACTGTTATATCCAAATAATGAGTAAAAAGTTGGAATGGAAGTGTTTCAATGTGAAACCCTGAGTTCAAACCTCAGTACTGGCAAAACAAAAACAAACAACAACAAAAAACCCTCCTTTATCTTATAGATCCTGTCAGTGTAGGTACAGATATTGGTAAAGTTTGTAAAATATATGATCCATACATAAACACAAATTTATATCCAAGTGAAAGACACTGATTTCTGCCATTGTTAGCATTCTTAGAAGACTGCTATACTCACTTGTTTACACAGTTAAATACGTATGTCCACACTACACCAGCACAGGTAAGAAGCTCCAACAGAGACAGTAAACCTAAAACACTGAAAGTATTTACTATTTGTCCCCCACCTTTTTTTTTTTAAGAGAGAGACTTCTACAATCAACATGAATAAGATAAATTTCCTAGCTGGGCACTAGTGGCTCATGCTATCCTATCTATTCAGGAGGCTAAGATATGAGGATCTAGGTTTGAAAGCAGCCCATGCAGGAAAGCTATGAAAGTCTTATCTCCAACTAACCAGCAAAAGGCTGAAAGTAGAGCTTTGGTTCAAGTGGCAGAGCATCAGCCTTAACGGAAAGTCCCCCAGGTTCTGAGTTCAAGCCCCAGAACTAGCACCAAATAAAGCTTTAGCAACTATTTGTTTCAGTACACCAAGGTTAAAATACAGAGAAATAGTATTTTAAAGAGAGACAGAAACAGAAACATTTCCTGCTCCCTACAAAGGAAAAGGAATTACCGTGGAAATACTGGAGTCTGAACTCAGCCTCATACTTGCTAGGCTGGCACTCTATCCCTGGAGCAAAACTTGTACCTCAGCTTTTTGCTGGTTATTTTGGAAATGGAGTTTAGAAAGTGATCTATTTTTCTGCCTACACTGCCCATGAACCTTGATCCTTCAGATCTCTAGACTCTTGCTGGGTAATTATAGAGACAGAATCTCCAATTTTCTGACTGGGCTTGCCTTGAACCTCCTGAGTAAGTAGGACTACAAACATGAACTGTCAGTGCCTGGCCAAGAGGTCATTCTTAAAATCTTAGAATAGTTAACATTCAAGCTTAGATGATATTTATTTGCATGTACGTATATGCCTTTAAGCACCTCCCTCTCTTTCTCTCCCTCCCTCTCTCTCCTTTTTTAACAGGGGTAGAGGGAAAGCATCTATGTTGCCAGGTTGGCTTGTATCTCCTGGGCTGCAGAGACCCCCTTATCTCAGCCTCCCAAATCCTGGGACAATAGTTATATACTACTATGCATTTGAGCTGGGCACTAGTGGTTCACACCTGTAATCCTAGCTACATAGGAGGCTGAGATCTGAGGATCACGGCTCAAAGCCAGCCCAGCTAGGAAAGTCCGTAAGATTCTTATCTCCAATTAACCATCAGAAAACCAGAAGTGGCAATGTGGCTCAAGTGGTAGAGCATTAGCCTTGAGGGACAGTGCTCAGGCCCAGAGTTCAAGCCCCATGACTGACCAAAAAAAAAAAAAAAAAGAAAGTGTTTGAACAGGAGAAAGACAATTTATTAATGTAGTCACACATATGTTTCAATAAACAGACAAAAGCAAATACTTACAACGACTTTTCAACTTTCCCTCATAAGATTCAGTAATAGTAAAATCTGCAACATTTGCTTTAAAATTTCCAGTTAAACAAGCTAATACACAGAAAAGTAAATTATTTGTTTATTACTCAATTTTTACATCCTGCAGTCTTCATCTTCCAGTTAGTTGGTCTGTTACCCATTAAAAAAATCCTAATTTCATGAAGTTAAAGAAAACATAATTCTTTATATATACACAAGAATAAAAATCCTTACAGCCTAACAGAAAAAAATATTTTGTTTACTAAATTGAAAGCATAGATATGACAACACAGGAAAAATACTAAGTACTTAAGAATATTACAAAAATACTATAATACATTAAAAAATTTAAATTATCTTAAGTAGTTGTACAAAGGGGTTACCATTCAACAAATTAGGTTATACAATGCATCTTGATCCATGTCACCCCATTAATCATTCTCTTCCATCTCTCCCAACAAAACCCCTTAGTATACTACATTTAGCTAAGATTTTAACAGCTCTCAGCTTACATGTTTGTCTTTTTATAACTTGCTAAATTTCCAGCATAAGTATAAATTCCTGGAAACTTTCCTCAAAACATGAAAACTCTCCAAGGTAAAGTTTTTACCCTATTTTTCTTTGAAATTGATTTGCTACATTATCAGAATTAAAAAGTTATTCAGGAACTATTTCTAAATAATACTATTTTCAAGCTTAAAGAACCTTTTCCCATTTTTCTCTTTCCTTTAAATAAACAAAAACATCTTGCCCAGCTGGGAAGGTGGCTCAGCGGTTGAGGCCCTGGTTCGATGCCTCAACACCACATAAGCAAAAAAAAAAAAAAAAAGCTGGAAGTGGCACTGTGGCTCAAGTGGTAGAGCGTGACCCTTGAGCTGAAGAGCTGAGGGACAGTGCCCAGGCTCAGAGTTCAGGCCCCATGACCGGACCCCTCCCCCCCCAAAAAAAATCTTGCCAACTTCTCTTGCCAGTTCTGGGGCTTGAACTCAGGACCTGAGTGCTATCCCTGAGGTATTGCTCTTTGTTTTTGTTCTCCCTCAAGGTTAGTGCTCTAAAACTAGAGCCTCAGCTCTACTTCCTGCTTTTTGGTGATAAATTGGAGATAAGAGTTTCATGGACTTTTCCTGCCCAGGCTGGCTTTGAACCATGATCCTCAGACCTCAACCTCCTGAGGACATAGGATTATAAGTGTTAGCCAGCTTGTCAACACTTTTTTTTTTGGTTGGTTATGGGGCTTGAACTCTGGGTTTGGGCGCTATCCCCGCGCTCTTCAGCTTAGAGCACTCTACCTCTTGAGCCACAGCACTACTTCTGGTTTTCTGGTGGTTAATTGGAGATAAGAGTCTCACAGACTTTTCTGCCCAAGCTGGCTTTGAACCATGATCCTCAGATCTCAGCCTCCTGAGTAGCTAGGATTACAGGAGTGAGCCGCCGGTGCCCAGCTTAAAGGAATTACGTTTTCAATATTAAATGTAGAAAAGCGTATTACTTTCCTTACAGGTTAACTTTCTATAATTATTACACATATGGAATTAGTAACAATGACATAAACACTTATTTCAAAATTGTATTACATCCTTTATAAAATGAAAACAAATTTGATCATATGCCTGTGCAATCAGACCTGTAATTTCTTTATTAAAATGTAAGTCATCAGATAATCTCTAATAAAAACAATCCACAGTATTTTAAGTTGCAAAGAAATATTTCCTACCTTGCCTGCTTCTCTTTCTAAGTCGACATACTCCCGGCTAGGTATTTGTCGCTGTTCTCCCTGCCAGCTGGCCGGAAAAAACTGGAGAGACAGATTGGTTCCTGTGGCCACAAAAGCCTTTTAGAAAAATCAATACAAACAGGATCAGGAGCAGGACATTACATAAATTATGCAGGCAGTCATTTATTTTTACATCAGTTTATGTCTTAAGCCAGGCAGCACTGAGAATACTTAAAAGTAAAAAAAAACATGCACTCATCATTTTTCTTAAGTATTAAGTTACAAACATCTGATTCCATTTTGAGGGCATTTGCCATTGGCTGCTTAAATATAAAATCAGACATGGAATCAATACTTTCTTTCAGGTCATTTTTTGCTGACGTTAGTATCTCACATTGCTAATGTCTAACCAGAAACCACGATCTTTGCATTTAAGAACTGGTATTTTTAAGTGTAAAAACCACTGATAATCTAAAGATTTTTGCATTTTAAAGCACACAACAATTTACAGTTGTATAAACAGGACGTTTTATTTCTGTTGATTTCCTTATACTCAAAGAAACAATGAATGGTGTGTGGCACATAAAAATTTCAGTATGTAAGTGCATTTTGAAGCCCAGGTTAATATGCACTAGAGATGATGTCTTCTGTGACTGACTACCCCTGAGAAAGTGATTTGACAGTACTTCTCTCTAAAAACCTGAATGATTAAAATATATACATTAAACAATTTTACCCTAAAAGAATTAATTCAGATTCTAGCAAAAAGTATTGAGTATTCGTATTTGTAAAAGATGTGGATGGCATTGTTCAGTAAGATAGAATTACCTAAAACATTTCAATAATGTGGCATTCTATGAGGTCCCTGATAAATTTAACTTGGTATTTGCCCTGTGTCTAGAGAAACATTATTCCTCTTTCTGGGGCAATTCAGAAATAAATAAAAGTTTTTTTTTTTTTCTTGCAGTACTGAGGAATGAACTTGAGCTGTGAGCTCTACCACTGGAGTCATGCTTCCAGTCCTAAAAAAATATTTCCAAAAAAATTACGTATTTTGTCATTTAAATGTATGCTCTTCTTTGCTGGAACCAGAGAAGTTAGTTCAGTTTATTTTACTGATTAAATTCTGAAGCATCATTCCTAGTCTTCATCTGAAAGTTAGGGGCTCACTTTTACAGCTCTCTCTCTTGGTATCAGTTCTGGGGCTTGAACTTAGGGCTTGGGCACTACTGTTGAGCTTTTGTTCAAGGTTAGGGCTCTAACCACTTGAGCCAAGCTTCACTTCTGGCTTTTTGGAGGTAAGTCTCCTGGACATTCCTGCTCAGGCTACCTTCAAACTGCAATACTCAGATCTTATCCTATGGAGTAGAGAAGATTATATGCATGAGTCATCAGCACCTGGATTATACTTCCTCATACTGGTTGTGTCAAGTTAACTACTAAATATGTAGAGGCTTCTTTGTTGGCATTCTCTTACCAACTGGAATACCTTTTTCTTGTAGTATATATTTTCTATGATAGAAATTGAACATCAAGTTGGGTGCTAGTGGCTCACGCCTGTAATCCTAGCTACTCTGGAGGCTGAGATCTGAGAATCGCAGTTCAAAGCCAGCCTGGGAAGAAAAATCCATGAGACTCTTATCTCCAATGAACTACTTAGAAAAAGCCAGAGTGGTGCTGTGGCTCAAGTGACAGAGTGCTAGTCTTGAGCACAAAGAGGTTCAGGAACAGTGAGTGCCCAGGCCCTGAGTTCAAGCCCCAGGAAACAAAAAAAAAAATTGAACATCAAATATTACATCAATCTTAAAGAAAAGCAGACCAGGAAGAAAACTGCCTAGATTTTATGAGTTAAGGCATGCTTCCATTTTCCCCCCCACAAATTAGTATTTGTTAAGTATTTATTTAGAACAGTACCAAGTAAACATTATTATAAATGTTTGCCAATAATGTAAAAGAAATAACTTTTGTCTTTGTAAAATGAGATCTATGTTGCTGATACCGGCCTAAAACAGTTGGGCTTGGATGACTGTCCTTTTCCTTAGTCTCCCTAGTAGCTAAGACTGCAAATAGGACAGCAATGTACCCAGCTTAAGAGAAAATAACTGAGATCAATAAGAGAGCTAACATTTCAGCATCTGAAAATGAAATTCTCAGAGCAGAGTAGTGACAAACATGAGACTGAGTCTATGAATGAAAATTCTGTGTCCAAATCCCTAAGGCATTTATATATTCACGAGTAGCAAATCCTCCAGTGCCCTAACCAGCTCTGTGCTAAGACACTGAAGATCTTATTACCTCAGAAGAGTTGTGCTTTACTGTTTGATGGCCATTATCTCATCAAGAGAAAAAGTGGTAAAAACTAAATTCCTGTCGGGTGCTGGAGGCTTACTCCTAGCTACTTAGGAGGCTGAGATCTGAGGACTGAGGTTCAAAGCCAGCACAGGCAAGAAAGTCTATGAGACTCTTATCTCCAATTAATCACAGAAAAAGCCAGAAGTGGCACTGTGGCTCAAGTGGTGGAATGCTAAGCCTTGAGCAAAAAGGAGCTCAGGAACAGCTCAAGTCCAGAGTTGGAGCCTCAAGACTGGCAAAATCGAAACCCTGATTATTCTAAATAGCATTTTCCAAACTTACTTGAACTAGAATATTTTTCTGAGGGAGAGAGGCAGGATTGACTGGGATGAAACTGTAGGTCTCACAATCTTTGATTTTTTTTTTAATAATCTTTGATTCTATATATACAAAGGGTTGGGAAATATGATCAACATACTTTCTCGCAGGTGTGGGTGTGTGCACATGCACATAGGCAGGTCCTAGGGCTTAAACTCAGGGCCTATGCACTGTCTCTGAGCTTTTTTGCCTCAAGGCTGGCACTCTTACCACTTGAGCCACAGCTACTTCCAGCTTTTTGGTGGTTAACTGGAGATAGGAGGCTCTTTACTGCCCCTGTGGGCTGGCTTCCAACTGTGTTCCTTAGATCTCCTGAGTTCCAGGAGTAGGATTACAGATGATACCTACTGAATATCTGGCTTTTATCAACATACTTCATATTCATGTATGGGAAAAAACCTCAAGGAAACCCCTTTGTCAATGCCAGTGGCTCACACCTACAATCCTAGCTACTGAGGCTGAGAGCTGAGATTTGTAGTTGGAAGCTATCCTGGCAAGAAAGTCTATGAGATTCTCATTTCCAATTAACCACCAAAAAGCCAAAAGTGAAGCTGTGGCTCAAGTGGTAGTGCTCTAGCCTTGAGCAAAAACAAAACAAAAACCCAGAAAAGACAACTCCCTAAGGGTAGGCCCAGGCCAAATTCAAGCTCTCCCCTTCCCCTCAAAACCCTCTTTGTATAATTAACATATGGCTAGGAAGAGTTGGGCTATATGAGGCTATAAGTTTGATACCAGATCCATTAGAAAAATAATTAAATATACATATTTTTCTTTTCTTTTTTTTTTTTGGGTCCGGTTGTGGGGCCTGAACTCTGGGCCTGGGCGCTGTCCCTCAGCTCTTCAGCTCAAGGCTAGTGCTCTACCACTTGAGCCACAGTGCCACTTCCGTTTTTTTTCTTCTTTTTGCTTATGTGGTGCTGAGGAATCGAACCCAGGGCCTCAGGCATGCAAGGCAAGCGCTCTACTGCTGAGCTACCTTCCCAGCCCCTAAATATACGTATTTTTAAGAAAGGCTTGGGAAAATTCTATTTGAAAAGGTTAAAATTCTATACTGGTATAAAGTCTGTATATAAGATTTGTCCTGATTATATTTTATAACATTAAAATGGTAAGCCCTGTGCTACTCCAACCTACCTTTTATCACTCAATGTTCTCAAAAAACAAAAATTAGTTTTACTCTCCCACAGTACTCAATATAATGTTCATTTTTTGTTTCATTATTAGTGTTGAAAATCTCTCCAACATGCTTACTAAAATGAAAATTCATAGGAGTAGATTGTACCTCTCACCATAACCACTAATATTCCATGATGAGATAAGGAGCATGGTTGCATTTTGCAAAAAGATAATTGCAGCTCTTACTTTCTTTAAATAATACACACATCCCCACCTACCCCACCCCCTGCCAGTACTGGAAATTAATTGAATCTTGCTCAAGATAGCCAAATGTTCTACCATACCCTTGGCCCTCAAAATAAACTCTTTACAAACTTTACCGATACATCAGAAGACAGGTTGGGATACATAGTTCTAAAAATACATAATTTAAAAAACTATGTGTCTGCTGTCAAAATAGAGACAAAGTGTTGCCTTTCCATAACTAAACAGGTAGAGACTATAGCCTATTCCTAACTCATAAATTAGAGTTCAGGCATTAAATTACATAATCTCTAAATTAAAATAATCCCTAAAATAATGATCCAAAGGAATTATGACCTGAATCCAAAGGAGTATATTCAAAATTAAACTGGTCTCCAGCCTCTAGAAGCCAAGAATCCTTTAATTTGTGTGGGTAATAATTAATAAAAATGGGAGAATAAGCCAGATGCTGGTGGCTTATGCCTATAATCTTAGTTACTCAGGAGCCTGAGATCTGAGAATCCTGGTTCAAAGACAGACCAGGTAAAAAAAGCCCAGTTCCTCTTATTTTCAATTAACCAGCAAAAAGCCAGAATGGTGGTGTGGCTCAAGTAGTAGAATGCCTGGCTTGAGTGGAAAAAGCTCAAGGTCTTGGGTTGAAGCTCCAGTATCAGAACAAAAAAGTACGTGAGGGAGGACTAGAAAAAGGGAAGTATGAAATCCCCTCCTAAATATATGACATAGTTACATTACTCAACAAAAAGCAAGAAGATAAGACCTCAAGGTCAGCTTTCATTTCATGAGACTATTGGGGGGGGGCGGGAGAAGACTGGCAAAGTGCTGGTGGCTCATATCTATAACCCTAGTTATTCAAGAGGCTCAGATCTGCCAGGTGCAGGCAGCTTAGGCCTGTAATCCTCACTATTTAGGATCTGAGGATTGCAGTTCAAAGCCAACCTGGGTAGAAAAGTCCATGAGACTCATCTCTAGTAAAATACCCCCAAAAAGCCAGAAGTGGCTCAGGTAGTACAGCACTAACCATGAGCAAGAGATGCTCAGGGACAGCACCCTGGCCCTGAGTTCTGACAGAAAATAAACAAAACATAGTAAAAATTCATAGGATCAAGGCTGGTAAAGTAGCTCAAGAGGTAATTTGTCTAGCAAATACAAGGCCTAGTTAAAAAAAAAATTGTAAGATCAGATACTTGAGAGAAAGCCTAGAATGTCTAATTCATCTTGGAAAGAAATTTACTACAAATAGGTAACAATTTAGCAATCTTTTATATAGCAATACTATATACAGCTAATCAGACTGTGGGTTGAACTATATGGCCAATTTATAATTACATGCAGCAAATTCTAATGTGACAAAAAAAAAAAACCCTACTGGCTATGCTTCACTTGGTTAAAAAAAAAACACCTAGCTTCAAAAAAATAGCAACAGGGGCTGGGATGTAGCTCAGTGGCAAAGCGCTTGCCTAGCAAGCGCAACGTCCTGGGTTCGATCCCCAGTACCAAAAAAGAAAAGACAAAAAAAAAATAGCAACAGTACTTTATATCTCATCTTTACCACTTAACAACATCAATTACCTGAAGGAAATTCTTTGATCAGAAATACCAACTATCATCTTTCTTGAAGGAAGTCAGGTAAAGGATGACATCTCTGAACTAATAATGATTTATTATACAACTCAGTGCCCAAACCAAAATGCCTTTGTTTTATATGTCTACATCACACAAATATTAAACTACTCAAGAAACTTGGAGGTGAACTGAAAGCTGAAGTTTCATAATATGCATTAATGACCCAACATCTTGTGCTTCTGATAAATTTAAACAGTATCATCTTTCTGTAATGTAATTCCCAAATGCTTTCAGTTTAAATATTAAACATCCCTTGAAGATAAATCTGGATGTGGTGATGCAAAGGGAAAATTTCGTGGTATATGAATTACATCTCAATGAAACAACTGACTATAAAGGGGGAGGAGAAATAAATTTTCCAAAATAGTTTTTTGTTAACCTCAGTTCAAACTGTTATCTTAAGCTTCAAGTCTCTGCCAACGCAAGTGAGCAGAAAACACGATTCCATTATGCAATGCTTCATCTTTTTTTTTTAATAATCGACTCCTTTTTCTATAAACTTCCTCCTATCATTGCTTCCTCCTTGAAAACTAACCTTCAATAGGACACCGCAAAAAGCATGAAAGAAACTACCACACCTAAGTAGTTTTCAACCTAAAGTTTGATGAACAGGAGGCAACACACCCATCACACCTAAACAGGGACTTCAAGCTCAACTGTGAGTTTCATAGAAACAAGCAATTCTTTCGAAACTACAGAACTAAAAAGTTAGAAAAGGGGGGGGGTGTTTCAGATTCTACTGAGGCAGAATATTCTAGGGAAAAAAAATGGTCCACTCTGTGTTGCTCCCCCCCCCACCTCATCTTCTATTAGGTCAATAAACAAGATTCTCAGCTACACGGGGACTGAAATTTAGCTTCTAAGAAACCAACTATCGCTGACTCCGGGGGAAGCTTTCACCCCACCCCACCCCACCCCCAATTCTTTTGCTACATGAGCGTTGCCTTCCTACAAATTCTGAGAACCCCGAATGGTGTCACAGCCTGATACAATGCCCTTCTGCTTGTTCCATGTGGCTGGGGTTTGAGCTCCATCGCGGCGAAGAGTGTCTCAGATCCGGCTTCGGGAGGAAAATACAAACCACCGGCGGCGGGGCTACCGCTACAGCACCCGGGCGTCCGCGCCGAGCGAGGACCGGCCCGCCAAGCGCCTGGTTTTCTTGCGCCTTTTGAATCCCGAGTAGGAAGTGAGACGGAGTCCGCTCAGTTCCGGGAGCCGCGGCGTCCGCGCGCGGCGCCGTCCGGAACCCGCCTGGGCCGCGCGTCTCGCGGAGCAACAAGTGACCCGCGCCCGCGCGCGCGCGCCGCGGTCCCCGCGCCCCAACCCGCGACTTACGATCTCCGAGCGGCCGTCGCGGCAGGCGTTCTGGAAGCGCGTCTGGCGCTCCTCGTGGGGCCGGTCCCTGAAGCCCGTGTATTTAATCTGCAAGGCAAGAGAGACCGGCCGAGGAAAATCAGGAGCCAAATCCGCGGCGTCTCTCGCCCGCCCCTCGCGGCGCCGATAAGGGCAAGCAGAGTCTGCGGGCAGACAGACGGCTGCCGGGGCGAGATTTGCCCCTCTTGCGACCGCGCCGCCCAAACTTTTCTCCGCCCGGGCCCACTCGGGGCGCGTCGCGGCCTCCGCGCCTTCCGCCCGCCTCGCCTCACCTCACCTCACACTCGCGGCTCAGCTTCCTGAAGAACTCCTCATTTTCGAACTTGCTTCTCTGGTCAGGCACAACGCGCGGCATCTTCCCGCCCGAAGGCCGCGGCGGCCGGGGCTCCGGGCTGGCGTGGGTAAAACCCGCCGGCTGGTTCTGCGCTACCGACTGACCGCCCACCCCGCGGCGCCCAGACTCCCGCTTCTCTTTGTTTCAGGCGCCCGCCCGCGTGGGCTCCCGCTCCGGGGAGTCTGAGATACTGCCGCCCGCTCGAGCCCAGCCCACGCCGCCGCAGCCTCAGCCGTTGCCTACCGCCCGCGCAGACCCAGCTCTCGCCGCCCACAGCCACCGCCGCCGCCACTTCCTCTCGCCGCCCACCTAGCTCGCCCTCTCCGCCCCGCCCCCGGCGGCCCCACCCCTCCTTCTTACGCGCCCGCCCGCCTCAAACTCCGGCAAACAAGACTCACCATTCACAACTCCACGGCCCGCGCCGCGCATGCGCCTCACGCCCGCTCGGCTTGCGGGGTGGTTGTGTTGCCGGGAACCCGGGCTCTCTCCACAGCGCAACCTCTTTTCCCTTTGCCTGACTGCTGGCGGGTTCATTGTACAACAGCTGGGTGGGGTCAGCCGGACACCTAGGCTACCAGGAGCGTCCCCTCTCCCTCCACAGGCTTTTTACTTCCCCCATTGCAGAACTATCTAGAACTTGTGAACTCCCTCCCAGCCACTCCAGGGTAACCTCACATTGCTAGTTGAAAGTGAAGAAGCCTTGGGGATTTTGCATGCTCACACCAGCTGTGCACACCTAGGACTAAAGGTAGAAACAGACTGAAGATTTCAGCCAGATCGTGGTAGCTGTTGTAATCAGCCAGGCTTTAGATGAGATTTTGCACAGCTCACCTGCCTGCTGACTGGGCCTGTTAAATATCAGAATTCTATTTTCCATAATGCACATAAGTTCCTAAGAGTTAGCATAAGAACCTTTATGTTGGCCTAACACTTAATGGCCACCCAATAAACTTGGGTTTCTAAAGAAAAGCAAGGTAACCCCTGGGTGCTGGTGGCTCACATCTGTAATCCTAGTTACTCAGGAGGCTGAGATCTGAGGATCATGATTTGAAGCCAGCCAGGGCTGGCTTATCTCCAATAAACTACAAAAGAAAAAAAGAAAGGGAAAAGAAAGCCAGAAGTGGAGCTATGGCTCAAATAGTAAAATGCTAACCTTGAGCAAAAAAAAAAGCTCAGGAACAGCACCTTGAGTTCAAGCCCCAGGCCTGGCAAAAAAAAAAAGTTGACTCAGAGGATAGCAAATAGGTGCCAATTGTGTCAGTAGCGGGGCCAGATTGCAAAGGTATTTGAAGATATACCTAAATGCAAAGGAATCAGTGCCAAATCAATTGGCAATGCCTGTCTTGAGTAGAGGCTTGGCAGAACTTCCCATCCCTGTCCAATCTCATTTTTACAGATATGGAACCAAGCTTAGATAATTAGCTGTCCTGGATTTGCCATGGACTGTCTTGGTTTTAGCAATATTCTTCAGGAAACCACTCAGAACCTAGAAAACCAGTATGGTTGTTAATTCTAACAGGTCTAGAGACTGATTGCTCAAAGTTAAGGTGGGTTTTTTTGTTTGTTTTTTGTTTGTGCTGGTCCTAGGACTTGATTTCAGGGCCTGGGCACTGTCCTTGAGCTTTTTGCTCTAGACTAGTGCTCTACAGTAGTTTGTGTGTGTGTGTGTGTGTGTGTGTGTGTGTGTGTGTGTGTATGTATGATTCTTTTTGTTATTGTTTTGTGTTTGTTTTCCCCCATTTTTACTTATCATTTTATTATTGCTATTAATGTGTTGTGCAGAAGGGTTACCATTTCTTTTTTTCTTTCCTTCCTTCTTTCCTTCCCCTTCATTACTACCTCTTCCTTCTTTCCTTCCTTCTTTTTTTTTTTTTTTTTTTGCCTGTCCTGGTGCTTGAACTCAGAGCCAGGGCACCATCACTGAGCTTCTTTTGTTCAAGGCTATCCCTTTACCACTTGAGCCACAGTGCCACTTCTGGCTTTTTCTGTTTATGTGGTACTGAGGAATTGAACTCAGGGCTTCATGAATGCTAGGCAAGCACTCTGCCACTAAGCCACATTCCCAGCACTGGGGTTACCATTTTATAAGTCAGATACTGAGTTTGTTTCTTTTTTTGCATTCTGGGGATCAGTCCAACTATAGACAAATGCTATAATACTGAGCTACATTTCCAGCCTTGCAGGTCAAGATTTGTGGGTTGTCTGTTTTTTTTTTTTTTTCCCAAAGCTGAAATATAGGGCAGCTGGGCAGGGCTATAGCATGTACTACTGAGAGAGAGGGAGAGGAAGGGAAAGAAAAAGGGTGAAAGGTGGAAAAAAGAAACCATTTAGGTTGATGGTTTTTAACAGACATCCTCCTATTGTTTTGGGTTTTTTAATTGTTGTTGGTGGTAGTTACAGAGCTTGAACTTGGGGCATGGGCACTGTCCCTGAGCTCTTTTGCTCAAGACTAGCACTCTACACTTTGAGGTATGTGATTAATTGGAGATGAGAGTCTGGCAGACTTTCCTGCACAGGTTAGCTTTAAATTATGTTCTCAGATCTCAGTCTCCTAAGTAGCTAGGATTACAACCTTCCTATTTATTTATTTATTTTTGGTGCTTGTACGGCGGCTTGAATTCAGGGCCTCATATTTTCTTGGCTTTTTCTGCTCACCACTGGTACTCTACTGCTTAAGTCACACATCCAATCCTGTCAAGATAAGAATCTTTTGGATTTGTCTACCTGGTTGGCTTCAAACAGTGATCCTCAGATCTCATTTTCCTGAGTAGCTAAGATTATAGGCCACTGGCACCCAGTTCAGACATCCTCTTCTGAACCGTAGACAAAAGAGCAACTCCTTCTTTGGGTGTGCTCTTCTGGCCTGTACCACGCCTGCGTGAGTGGATGTGTATATATAAACAGAAAGGTATGGATTCCAACAACTACTGATGGAGCTTGCACTTTCTCATAATCTTTCTTTCATTTGTAAGCAACAGAAACTCAATTCCATGAAACTTAAAACTAAAAGGATCTTTCACTTTACCTAAACAAATCAGAGAGGCAGATGAGCTATCTGGACAATGTTCTCTTTTTCTTTTCTGCTTCTCCATTTTTCATCACTGCTTTTCTGTCAGGATCTCTTGGATTATACTTGTTTCTCAGCAGTAGATCAGAGTATCCACTGCTCCATCTTACCAAATTACTTTAATTGCCTGGGTCACATATTCTCTCCAAATCAACGTGTGTGTGGATATGATTGACTGGTCAGTTTAAATCATATGCCCTTCCATCAGGATTTGGAACACCTGTGATTATTGATCATAGAATCTGATATTTTAAATAGGGAGAAGAGAAATCCCCCCAACAAAGGAAATAAAAAGGGGTACATTATAGTCCCACTAAACAGTTTGTATCAGCTGCTCTTGGGAAGGATGCCATTTTTATTGTTGCATAATAATTTGATCAAATTGATGATGACTCCCACATCAGCACAGGCAAAATGTAGACAAAAACCATCTTTAAAATATCTGCAACACAGTAGGGAGGTAGGCAGCCTTTATCCCAAGACACCAAAACTAAGTCAGTCTCAGGAGTTAGAAACCTTCATACACTGCTGTGCCTCCTTGAAGTCTTCCAGTTCAGTTTCCAGCTAAGAATACCTTTAGATACCAGGACAACATAGCCATTGTTTAAATGAGAAGAAGCTGACTTGGCTCCCAGTCAACAAGTCTGCAGATCAGCATAGGCTCATTGCTAGGGTTTTTGCTGCTGGCATTCATGATAAGAAACAGAGTGAAACATGTCCCAGGGGTAACTCACGTGATTTGGTGTAGATGGATATTGGTATGCAACTTCTCATGTTGATCTATAAAAGCTATTCCACAAGGAGACACTGTGGTTTCACAGTAGGTCTAGGAGACTCTCAGATCTACAGCTGATTTTGATCTTTTTGTCTGTAGTAACAGCTGTTACTGCCATGGGAAATGTGGAATAAATGAAAGTTGAAGTTAGGTATGGTGATACAGACCTATAATCTCAGTACTCAGGAAGCTGAGGCAAGAGGATCATAAGTTTAAGAGCAGCCTGGGCTAAATGCTGAGACCCTGACTCAAAATACAACACAACAGAAATAGAAAGATCTCAAAAGTAGTAGTAGCTGGCGAGACAGACACTATGACCTTTGGCAAGGAAAAGATCAGGGTTGTAGGAGCAGGATATAGTTGGGCAAGAATACAGAGAAGGCCAGAAGGCTCTACTTGTAGCTCAATGCGGGCAGGGAACCATGTCCAAAGGGAAAGGGATGGCAAAACCTTCCAAGCAGACCAAGAACTGCAGTAGCCTTTGGCAATCCCGGGCCACAGGGTAACCCACAGCGAGCTTTGTCTGGCATCCAAGTGGCAGGGTGACTGGGAAACAATCCTCTGGTTAAAGGCAGTCTCTCCTTAGCTGACCTCTGTATGCATTTTTTACTTTTGTTTTTTTTTTCTCACTTATTTTGAAAAATAGGATTAAAAGAAATTCATACTTTCTCGATATGGGGAAATTTTCAAGTGAACTCAGCTTTGAGCTTCTAATAGCATTGGCAACCATCGGATAGGGTATAGCTTCATCTAGACCCCATCTATGTTTGCTAAGCCAGCTCACAGATGGAAGCCTTCGGGGCCGGGGTCCACTGCCTTGCCTAGAAAAATCCTCCTACTTTCCCTGAATCTGACTAAATCCCCTGGAGCTTCACTATTTGGAACCTTCCTTTCATAAGCGTTCAGCCAATCTCGGGGCTTTCTTTTTCAACTGTCTGCACTCAGTTTTTTTTGGAAGGAGATAGATTGAAATCTAGGATGAATGTGTCCCCTGCCTGAGCATGGCAATTTCCTGGGCCTTAAGGCTTTTTTTTTTTTTTCTTTCTCTAGGTAATTACTTCTGCAGGACATCCAGATGGATCTTAAGGAGATACGTAGAAAGCATTCAGGGATAGAAAACCCTCAGTTGTCTAGCCCAACTCTGAAACTGAGTGTCACACAGAAAAGTCAGATCTTCCTATCCCTCTTGGATAGACGAGGAAAAAAGAGACTCTGAAAAGGTCAGTCAGGTAAATAGGACAGTTTAGGAGACACTGACACATGAGAGATAATGAATAGATAAGCATCGGGCTATATCATTTCCATCTGCTCCTCACCTCAGCACTGCAAATCCAGCATCCCAATGAGGAAACTGAGACTCAGGGCCTAGTAGCCCCAGGATTGTGGTTTTAACCGTTCTGCTCACTGGTAGAAATGCCAAAAAAAAAAAAAGCCCTGC